GTCGCTCCGAGGCAGTGCAGAGGGCTTCACTCTCTGCTCCCACCGCCCGGCTTGGCTCCCGGGGGCGGAGCCCGGCGGCGGTGGCGGCGGCGCGGAGGGCTGCTCCTACTCGGAGCCAGTGGGCTTTGCTCCATCACTTGGCGCTGACATATGCAAATTAGCTGCCATCTTGGCTGGCGATTAATTTGCATATCTTGCTGATTAGCCAATGGGAAGCATGTCGGAGGTACGGTTAATTACCATGTTTGTCTATTATTAGATAGGATAACCTGAATAATCAACTGAAAACGAGAACAGAAGTCTTATAACCAAGGATTTACAGAAGAAGCCACATCAAAACTGGTAGGAAAGGCAGAGACATAAAAAGGGCGGCCCACTCGTATGGGTGGCAGCTCAGAATCTGGAGGGATATCTCAGCTGCAAAGATTCCCCCTGAGGAGTGTGGGATCTCAACCCCATGCTGGATTTCCCAGCCCAGAGCATCAGAATCAAGAAGAGGTACCCATATAATACCTAGCTGTGAAAATCATGAGACCTTGTCTGCCAGGGAGAGACAGGAGTCTGCTCTTAAAGGGCCAGCACACAAAATCTTATTCACAGCCACTCACCCTGGGCTTTAGTGGAGGAAGGGCAGAGCTGATGAGAGTCATGTCAGGAGAGCTAGGGTTGTGGCTCCAGAAAGAGAACTGAAGGGGCAGCTGCCAGGGCCCCTGTGCTGAGTTCTTCTCCTATACAGCAGATGCCATCTTTATTGGGTAGAACAATTTCCTCCTCACAGCATCATCCTGGGGGAATGCAATAGCCCTGCCCTCCAGACTCCCTGTCGCCCCACCCTGTGAAACTCACACCCTGCAGAGGAGTCAGCTGCCTGGGCCAGGGTGTAGAGCTCCAGGCAGACTCAGGGGGTGTCAGTTGCCAGGGTTGACCAGCAGACCCTGAGTGATGGATGAACAGATTATTTTAACATGTTTTTGTGAAAGAGGGCTAAGGCACTATTTGGCTATTGCCACCAAGTAGCCTTGCTCACCTTCCTTCTTTGGCTTTTATTGTCACAACAGCTTGAACTAAATTTAACCTTTAGATAATAATCAGCAAGGTAAGTATTCTTGAGAAAGCACATGCTTCTACAAAGTTGGGTCTAAAAGACTAAACATAGAGATTTTAGCAAAACATCCAGGGGAATGGATTTGTTTGGAAAAGTTAAGGTAGGGGCTGCCACCTTCAGCAAGGTCCCCTCAGAGACCCCGACCTTTCAGAGAATCTTCCGTACAGACATTCCAACCAAGTCCCATGTTTCCCCACAGTCAGTGTCTAAGTTGTGTGGTTCTGGGGCGAGGGCCATTCCTCCCACAGTCCCAGGAGCCTGACCAATGCTTCCTCCTCATGGGAGTTTCACTGGACCCACCCTCTGGGCTCCCAGGGGCCCTAATCTCCCAACTCCTGGTGGCCCTACCCTGACGATCTCCAGCTCCCCAGGAGGAGGTCTGGGCAGAATCAAGGACAGACTGAATTGTGTGGCTCTGGGGCAGGAACCATTCTCCCCACCTTCCTGGGAACCTGACCTGCACCTTCCCCTCACAGGAGATCCACTAGCCCCACCCTCCCACCTCCCTATGGCCCTGCCCTGATGAGCTTGGGCTCTTCTGGAGGTCCTGGCAGAATCTGAGACAGACTGAGTTGTGTGGATTTATGATGGGGGCCATTTTTCCCTTAGACACTGGACTGGTGCAGAGTGCTCCATTCACATGGCCAAATTTTGGTCTGTTTGGGCCTGATAAAATCTGCTGGCCTCACCCTGATGACTCCCTAACACCCCATCCCACCACAGAGATCTGTGGGCACCTGGTGGGGTGGCAGCTAATCTTGGTATACCCTGGGACATTTGCTGAGTGGCCTCAGACCCAACACTGGCACTGAGTTTGAACCTGTATCAATCTGATGAACACCATTTACCATTACCTGGTGACTCACTGAGAACCTACCTCATGCAACTTGAGTACTACTAGAGACTCCTTTAGCCTAACAGGCAGCCAGTAGGCAGAGGTGGATCTCAAGGTGCCTTGGGCCTTTTGCTGAACTGCCCCTGGGCTTGGTGCTGGTGGAAGCCAGCTTTGTTGTGCAGCTTGATCCTTCCAGTGCACACCTAGGCCGAGGAGAGGCAGCAACAAACTGTGGATCACTGGCCAGGGCCAGTCACAGGCAACGTCTGACATTGACCTGCACCAAAGTCCCTCTCAAGAGGCTCCAGAAACAACTCATCCAGTAGCCAGCTTAATGCAACATCAGAACAGGATCCAGTTAGCTTCACAAGCTAGCTTCATTAGCTCCCCAAAATGGGAGATCTCTACAGGCACCAGACCCTGCTGAGGCGAATTCCGTTTCATGTGGTCAATACCTGTACAAAAGCTAGGCCACCCTACAAAGACTGGGAGTCATAGTAGATCTCCCTAATACATAGAAACAAACACAAAGAGACAGCCAAATGGCGAGATAAAGTCACATGCTCAAATGAAAGAACAGGATAAATCTTTTTTAAAAAGAGCTAAATGAGATGGAGGCAAGCAATCTAGCAGATTAAGAGTTCAAAAAAATGGTTAAAGGATGCTCAAGGAATGTAGTGTAAACTTCAGCCACATGAAAAAGGATGTAGAAACCATAAAAAGACCAGTCAGAAATGAAGAATACAATATCTGAAATAAGGAATACACTAAAAGGCATAAACAGTAGGTTAGATAAAGCAGAGACTTGAATCAGCAATTTGGAAGACAAGGTAGCAGAAAATACCCAATTGGAGCAGCAAAAAGAAAGAATTTTAGAAAAATGAGGATAGTTTAAGAGACCTTTGGGATAACATGAAGCATAACAACATCCGCATCATAAAGGTACTAGAAGCAGAAGAGAGAGAGCAAGAGATTGAGAACAAATTTGAAGAAATAATGACTTCCCTAGCTGGTTTGGATCTGGTTTGACGTTAGCCCATGAACTGAAGGGTCCCAAGTTTGATTCCGGTCAAGGGCACATGTCTGGGCTGCAGGCTTGATCCCAGGGCCCAGTCAGGATGCATGCAGGAGGCAGCCAATCAATGTGTCTCTCTCACATCAATGCTTCTCTTTCTCTATCTCTTCCCCTCCCTTTCACTCTCTCCAAAAATCAATGGAAAAAAAATATCCTCAGGTGAGAATTAACCAAAAAAAGAAAAAAAGAAAAGAAAAGAAATAATGACTGAAAACTTTCCTAACCTGGTGAAAGAAAAAGACACAAAAGTTCACTAAGCGAAGTGAGTCCCAAACAAGATATATCCAAAGAGGCCCACACCAAACACATCATAATATAAACAGTGAAGTTGCTAAAACTATTAAAAAGGCCCAACTTCTCATTATTGATGAATGCATCATGGCATCCAGTCATGCTATAATCGCCATAGACAGGTTACTAAGAGAAATTATGAATTTGAATGTTATATTTGGTGGGAAAGTTCTCCTTCTTGGAGGGGATTTTCGACAGTGTCTCAGTATTGTACCGCATGCTATGCGATCCGCCATAGTACAAGTGAGTTTAAAGTGCTGTAATGTTTGGGGATGTTTCAGAAAGTTGTCTCTTAAACAAATACGAGATCAGAGGATTCTGCTTATAGTGGATGGTTTGTAAAACTTGGATATGGCAAACTTAATAGCAGTTTTCATTTAGGAATGGATATTATTGAAATCCCCTGTGAAATGATTTTTAATGGATCTATTATTGAAGCTACCTTTGGAAATACTATATCTATAGATGATATTAAAAATATATCTAAACATGCAATTCTTTGTCCAAAAAATGAGCAAGTTCAAAAATTAAATGAAGAAATTTTGAATATATTCGATGGAGATTTTCACACATATTTGAGTGATGATTCCATTGACTCAACAGATGATGCTGAAAAGGAAAATTTTCCCATGGAATTTCTTAATAGTATTACTCCTTCGGCATTATGCCAGCATTTGTGATGACTATTAATAAATCACAAGGACAAAATCTAGACAGAGTAGGAATATTCCTACCTGAACCTGTTTTTGCACATGGTCAGTTATATGTTGCTTTCTCTCGAGTTCAAAGAGCATTTGACGTTAAAGTTCTAAATACTTCATCATAAGGGAAATGAGTCAAGCACTCTGAAAGTATTTTCACTCTTAATGTGGTGTACAGGGAGATATTAGAATAAGTTTAATCACTTTATCAGTCATTGTTTGCATCACTGTTGTTTTTATATCATGTTTTTGTTTTCATATCATGTTTTTGTTTTTATATCATGCCTCTGTTGTTGTTATATCCTTTTGTTACTGTTTATTTATTAATACATTTACATATTATTTTCATATACATTTTACTAATTTCCTTTCATCTCTCACACTTCTATTATAGAGAAAGGGCAAATAGCAATATTAAAATATTTCCTCTAATTAACTCCCTTTTAATGTGCACGAATTTTGTGCATTGGGCCACTAGTTTCTAAATAATAGAAAAGTTTTACTAATGAATGATTGCCTGTATCTCCAAATCAGATAATCTTACCAATGGTATGCAAACAAGAATGTTGGCAATGAGAAGGAACCTAAAAGGTGATCATTTGGGTCATTGCAACACTCCCAATTAATTAGGAAGCACAGTGGTCTCCGGAGTTACCTTTGGTCAGTGCAGCTAACTGGAGGTGGGAGTTGTAACAGTCAGGAAAGAGAACGTGGAGATATCTCCTTGGTAAACCAGGCAGAAGAGCTCTGCCACTTGGGGATGGAGGCTGCCTGGGATTGGGTGACTAGTGAAATGAAGTCCTAAAGAGACAAATCTCTTGTTGCAGATTGACTCTGCCCTCTCTCATCAGACTTTTCTTGGGGATTCCCTTTCTTTCCCCAGTCCTGGAAGTGTATTGGGGCAAAAGAGGCAGGCGGGAGGGAGAGTAGATAGGGATTCCCTCAGGCCAGTGAGGACATTTCACAGCATCCTTATGTTTTCCCTTTGTTCAGGTTATTACTTTGGGACTGTGATGATCGGAGCTACAGCTACTACATTGAGGTTTCCACCAACCAGCAACAGTGGACCATGGTGGCTGACAGAACTAAAGTCTCCTGCAAGTAAGTGACATCCTTTGAGGGCTGTGTTCCAATTTAAAAAGTCTTCCCAATGGATTCAGAAGGTTCCAATGAAGACTCATAGAATCACTAGATTATATCTTATTTTGAAATTTGAAACATTCTCATGATTCTTTACTTTAGTTTTGACTATTAAGTACTTAGATGAGAATTTACTTTATATCAGTGATTCCCAAAGTGGGTGCTACCGCCCCCTGGTGGGTGCTGCAGCGATCCAGGGGGGCAGTGATGGCCACAGGTGCATTTGTTTTAACTTTTTTTGTATTACCTTTCTATTCTGAGTTCAATAAATAGTTTCATAATTTCAAACTTCAATGTTTCTAATTTATACCTTTCTTTACTATATTTTACGAAAAAGGTAGAAACATTAATACATAGTTCTTTCTGTTTAATTGCTATTAAAATTTTAAAAAAATTAATTTCCAGGGGGCGCTGAGTAATATTTTTTCTGGAAAGGGGGCGGTAGGCCAAATAAGTTTGGGAACCACTGCTTTATATGACCAAACAAGCTCTCCTTATTTTGGGATTTGAACTTGATTTTTGAAAATGGCATGTACTAATAAGCAGGGGGAAATATATTTCCCATATACAATTCTGTCTTGTGTCCTCCCCCCACATCCCACACTACCCCTTTAGGACTTTTTCTTTCCTAGAGAATTTTGCTGATGCAATACACACTTCAGTCATTATTCTGGGACTCTGTCCTGTTCCCCACCCTCATACCATTCTCAGGGTTAGCTTTAAATACTTATCTCATCTCTGTGTTTCCTACGCTGTTACCCAAACTAAGGAAAGTTTGTACCTTAGATTCTTTATAGGAGAACAGGGGCATTTCATGCATAGGGCTGTTTGAGCTGACCTGCTGTGGGTTTGCATATTCTGGATAGTTCATATAAATAGAATCATATAGTAAGTGATCTTTTGTTCCTGGCTTCTTTCAGGTATAGTTTTCAAGGTTTGTTCATGTTATGGCATGTATCAGCACTTCATTCCTTTTAAGGGCTGAATAATATTTCATCATATGGCGGTCTAGATCACATTTTGTTTATCCATTCATCATTTTATGAACATTTGAATTGTTTTACTTTTTAAATATATATATATATATATATATATATATATATATATTTATTTCAGAGAGGAAAGGAGAGGGAGAGAGAGATAGAAACATCAATGATGAGAGAGAATCATTGATCTGCTGCCTCCTTCACACCCCCTGCTGGGGACTGAGCCTACAATCCGGGCATATGCCCTGACAGGGAGTCAAACTGGTGACCTCTTGGTTCCTAGATCAATGCTCAACTGCTGAGCCACACCTGGCTGGGCTGAATTGTTTTACTTTTAGACTATTATATATAGTGCTACTTTGAACATTCTGGTACAAGTCTTTGTGTGAATGTATGCTTTCAGTTCTCTTGGGTATATACCTAGAACTGGAGTAGAATTGCAGGGTGATATGGTTTAAGTTTTTGAGGAACTACCCAACTTTTCCACAGCAGCTGCACCATTTTGCATTCCCACCAGCAATGTATGAGGATTCCTGTTTCTCCACATTCTTCCCAGTACTTATTATTGTCTGTCTTTTTGTTCATAGCCATCCTAGTAGGAGTGAAGTGGCATCTCATTGTGGTTTTGATTTGTATTTTTTTGATGGCTAATAATGTGGAAAATCTTTTCATGTACTTTTTAGCCACGATTTGGTAATAGTTTTAATGATGGTTATTTGATGCAATTTCTGACACTCTCACCATTATTGTAGTATTATCATATAGCATATTTTTATTGGTTAGGGCAACACTTGCTACTGTAACAAATAGTGGCTTCAACATATCCGTGGCTTAACACAATAGTTTATTTCTCAGTCATGTAACAGTCGATGTGGGTGTTTCTGGCTGTCAAGTGGCCTCCACAGGTGATGGTGGAATCCAGCCATCTTCCTTCTGTGGTTCTGCCCTCACCTAGGGCCTTGTCAGCATCACCTGCACCTAGCTGGCAGATGGGGAAAGAACAGAGAGAAGGTATTTCTGGTTCTGAACAACTGGGCCTGGGCATAGTGAACATCCCTTCCACTTGCATGACCCAAGAGAGAACTAGTCAGTTGCCACAGTCACTCTAGTAGGACTGGGAAATATAGTCACTTTCTGGCTGGGCAGTGACTTCTCAGTGGAGCACAAATCTTGAAGTCATCTCTGGCATAGCATAAGAAAACTAACAATTATTTAATAACTAGTATTCAGTACTTTGCATATTTTATCTCATTTTGTCCTGAATACAAAGCACCTTGTGGCATAGCTCTTTCTGCTGTACTGCATCGCCTCCTAGCATTAGTAGAGAGCTAAACCAAGACAGATGATGAAAACTGGTAAATGGAGTGTTTCCAAACTCTAAGAACCCTTTTTATACAAGAGGGAGGCCTTTTTATACAGTGGTGGCTTAGTGGTTGAGCATAAACCTATGAATCAGGAGGTCACGGTTCGATTCCACATGCCGGGGTTGCGGGCTTGATCTCCAGTTGGGGGTGTGCAGGAGGCAGCCTATCAGTGATTCTCTCTCATCACTGATGTTTCTCTTTCTCCTCCCTAAAATCAAGAAAAAGTACATTTAAAAAAAGAGGGAGGCCTTCAAGGCCCATGAACAGCTGCCCATTTGTCTTTCCATAATCATTGCTTATTGGGTGTACAGCTCACAGGCCATATCCTCTGCTTCCTCAAAGTTTGACACATCTACTGGTTACAACCACCCATCTCTTCTGTCACTTTATGTGTTACAAATTGAATTCTTCACCTTCTTCACCTCTTTCTTTCTTATTTTAAGATATATTTTTATTGATTCCAGAGGGGAAGGGAGAGAGAGAGAGAAACATCAGTGATGAGAGAGTCATATGCCCTGACAAGGAATCGAACCATGACCTCCTGGTTCATAGGTCAAATGCTCAACTGAGCCACTTGGGCTAGGCGTCTCACCTCTTTCTTTTATGTTCCCCTGTTGAAGGTGTTACACAATGTTGGTTTTCTACAAGAATTGGCTGACTAACTACTGATTGAGATGTATCATAATAATTGTATACTTATTTAAATGGGGTTTTTCTTGATTCAAAAACCCATTCACTTATTAGGACCTTTCCCAGTAGCTTTGCATTAAAGTTATCAATATCTTTCTTTCCTCTTGTTTATTTTTCATTTCCATTACTTTATTGGATTTAAATAATTTATATGTTTTTAACTTTGTATATTAGCACTTAGATGCTACAGCAGGAAGTGTTTTAGAAATTACTAAATAAGTAATATATTAGATGAACAAGAGTAGTAGCAAGAAGGCAAGTGCCTGTTAACCCTCTTGGGATCATTGGAACCAGCGGTTGTGGTTTTATGTTATAGGCATAACCACAGTGTACTGTCTTCCATTTTTGTGTTAGGTGTTAAATATAATAGAAGATATGCAGATAATAAAAGAAGAAAGCCTTTCCTTTTTAACTACTATACTCCAGAGCAGTCCTCAAAGAGGATTCTATTAGCTTCAAGAATTGTAGCCTGCTTTTTATTGTAATAAAGAATGTGAGTCATGTTATAAATCAAGTTCTATAGGATCTTTACATCCTGCCTTAGATCCTGCCTTAATAGCATTCTGCCTAGTCAAAAAGTAATCAGAGGGTAGATTTTCACTGTCCTCTGAAAAATACCAGGGAATGAGATTCTCCAGTGTCTCCTGTAAGTCTCTCTGCTCCTGGGGATTGGGGTGTGTGTGGGGGTGTTTCCTTTATTGGTATCTTAAGTTCTTTGCTTTTAGGATAAAGGCTCATTTTCTGTCTTGGATAACCCTGTTTGTGTATTGAGTGCTTTTGTTTTATCCCCAGTTTTATTGTGATGTTATTAATAAACAGCATTGTGTAAGTTTAGGATGTATAACATAATAATTTGATATATGTAACTATAATAATAAAAGCATAATATGCTAATTAGACCGGATGACCTTCCAGACAATGCCGTGAAGGCGGGGGCCGAGGCCGAGGCCGAGGCAGCCGCCGCAGCTGCAAGGGCCGAGCCCCTTGCACGAATTTCTTGCATTGGGCCTCTAGTATATTATAAAATGACTAGGGGCCCAGTGCATAAATTCATGCACCTTGAAAGGAATTTTGGGCCGCGAGGCTGCGGTAGGCACAGGGGCGTATCTCAGCCCATCCTCTGCGCCCCTGCCCAGCTCCTCCCGCAGCGGCCGCCCAGTCCCTTGTCTGCCCGCACCCCCGCTCCCACTGCCGCCACTCCCATGCGCCCTGCTCACACCAGCTGAAGGTGTGGAGCAATTGGGGCCGGTGCCTACAGTGGGTGCGAGCGGGGCCGGCACCGTCAGTGAGTGCGGGTGGCGGCTGCTGCCCCAATCACCCCTCAGGAACAGGGGAGGTGGAGAAGTTCTCAGGGGCAATCAGGGCCTGTAGCTGCCACTCACACCGCTGATGGCGCCGAGCAATCAGGACTGGCACCAGGCACCGGCAGCGGGTGTGAGCTGGGCTGGCACTAGCAGTGGGTGTGAGTGGCGGCTCCAGCGCCAGCAGCAGGTGCGAGCGCCGAGTGAGACCGTGGCACTTAGGAGCAAAGAATTTTCAGTAACCACCAGAGGCTCACCTTGATGGCAGCAATTGGCGCCCCACCTTGGTCTGGTGCCCCCGCTCACCTGCTCCACCATCCCACCTGGCCAACGCCCACCATGTTCCGAACAAGCCCCTGGTGGCCAGCATACGTCATAGTGACCGGTTGTTCCGGTTGTTCCACTGTTCAGTCTGTTTGCATATTAGCCTTTTATTATATAGGATTACCACAATAAGTTTAGTTAACATATCTTACCACCTCATATAGCTACAATTTTTTTCTTGTGATGAGAACTTTAAAGATCTATTCTCTTAGCACTTTCAAATACTAATCATTATTGTTAACTGTAGTCATGAGGTTGTTCATTACACCACCAGAACTTACTTCTCTTAAAACTGG